AAAAAAAAAAAAACAAACAAAGAAAAAAAACCAAGCAGAAAAACAGAAAGAAAAAGATTTATATATATAAATATAAAATATAAATATAAAAGAAAATTTTTTATAAAAACTTGATCATGTTGTGTCTTTAGGACTTGACAATGTTTGTGTTGTGTGTCAGCATGGATGGGAAATGGTTCTGGAAGTGGTGTTGGTGCTGGCTGTGGAATCCCAGCTTCACCTTCAGCAGAAGCAGCCTCAGGTCACCTGAAAAATGGGTCCTGGAGCAGAGGGAAGCCCAGGATTCTCTGGCACACTCACAGATATTTGTTTGCACCTCCTGAGAGGCTCAGTCTGCAGCAATCCAGCCTGCTCCCAGCTGAGCCCCAGACTCCTTTCAGGCAGGCCAGGGAATTGTCTGTGCTGTGTTTACCTGAGGGCTGGAACTGGTTTGTTGTGCCCAGCTGGAGCTGCTGTTCCAGCCCTGGCTGTGGGGCTGGAGCTCCAGGTGCCCCCTGCCTTCCCCAGCAGCGCTCTGGGTGCCCTGATCTTGTGCCACAGCCTGGGCTTTGCTCCACTTGCCATGTCTGTGAGGAGTCATGGCATGGTTGGGGTTGGGAGGGACCCTACCATCACCCAGTGGCACCCCTGCCATGGCAGGGACACCTCCCACTGTCCCAGGTGCTCCCAGCCCTGTCCAGCCTGGCCTTGGGCACTGCCAGGGATCCAGGGGCAGCCACAGCTGCTCTGGGCACCTGTGCCAGGGCCTGCCCACCCTCACAGGGCACAATTCCTGCCCAATATCCCATCCAGCCCTGCCCTCTGTCAATGTGAAAACATTTCCTCTCGTCCTGTCCCTCCATCCCTTGTAAAAAGTCTCTCTCCAGCTCTCCCGTAGCTCCATCAGGCACTGCAGGGCCAAAATTTGGTCACCCCAAAGCTTCTCCTCTGCAGGCTGGACAACCCCAGGTCTGCCAGCCTTCCCTCCCAGGAGAACTGAACTCCTCTATGAACAGGGGCCACTCCTGCTGGCTCCTTCCCTTGCCCACTGCTTTTCTAGAGGCTCTTAACAGCATTTTGCCCTGCCTGTGGATTTCCCACGTGCCACTGACACCCTTGCTGGTGTTTGTCACTGAGGGAGGGCAGGCCAGCCTAAGGGACATTATTGCCAGCCTAAGGGACATTATTGCCAGCTGCAAGGATGGTTTATGTGCCCATTTACTATCCTGGTGCCACTTGTAAAGAAATCCACGTTGCCATGACAATTTGCCAAGGCCATGGCTGGTGGGAAGCACAAAGCGTTGGAGACACGTGGGGTGTGTGTTTGTCCCACACATGTGGGGCTGGAATTCCTCTTGGGAATGCTTTTAGGAGCCAGCTCCTCCTCAGGTTCAGGGAGACTTTCACTGAGGAGTTCTTGTCCTTCAGTTGTGTGTAAAACACCTTTCAGTAGAAAGAAGCTGGAGTAAAATGTGCCATAACAAAGATGGTGAACACCAAAGCAGGTAATTGAATTGTAGCATTCATTGGTTCTAGAGAATTATTTTTGTGTTGAAAAAAACCTGTCATCCTGCCAAAATTGATATATGTGGTTGGGAATAATTAATTCAATGCTTGAAGAAAGCTTTCAGACTAATGGTTGCAATCTCTAGTCACTTCTCAAGAAACAGAGGAAGTTTAGTTCTTCAGACTTAAAACTAGAATTTCTCATAGCTGGTTTTATTTTTTAAATAGCCTTTGGTTCAGTTTTAGTGCAACTTTTAATGGTAATAAGATGGATGTATAGGCATTCTTCTTTTTATGAAAATGTAGAATTTAAAGTTCAAGCCCACAAATATTAGGATAACTTCCCCCACTGCACAAACCCCTTGTCAATTGGTTCTGGAGTTTTTTGCCAAGGAGCACAACTGAAACTACCTGGAGATTTGTGCTTCCAGTTTCTGTGTTCACTCATTTCAGTGGATTTATTCCCTAATGCCAAAGCATAAATCATGTGCACCAGCAGAATTTGTTTTCCTCTTTAGTTGCAGGCCTGTTTCAATAATATTTCAGGGAGGGTGCTGGGTCTGCATTGGGAGAGAGCTATTTGAGCCCCACAGCCAGCTGTGTTTACTGGGGATTAAATAAACCAATTTCTCTTCAAGACTCACTTCAGTTTGAAGTTCTCGACTCTTTTGTCTTTGTGCAATTTGCATTCCATGGTGGGTTAAAGCTTTGTGAGCAGCTATTCATCTGCAGCTCCCCTCAGCTTCCAAGGGCTGTGGTCTCCATTTCATTTTTATGTTCTGTCTCTCCAGCAGACCCAGTCCTCTCGCTCTGAAAATGCCATTTTCTGTCCTGAGCGTGTGTAGAACTCATACCAATCACTTTGTGTTGCATCAGTGGAAGCTGGAACAGCCTGGAGCTCTATTTAAGCCTCAAAAGTGTTTTTCTTTCATCAACAAAAAGGTCTCAATAATCTTCATGCTCAAATTGACTTGAAATGTACCCCTGTGCCCTAATCTGGGAGATACAGGTGCCATTTATGGCTTAAATAAGGGATCTTTGCTGAGTTATAACTCCCACAAAAGCAGTGCTTCAGCAAGTTAATGGGATTGTTATGGGGTTTGTGTGCAAGCCTGACTCAGAATATGGTTCTGCTTGTCCCTGGACAGATTTAAGGCACTCAATATGTGATTGTACTTGTGTGTGGTGCTCACTGAGCCTTTCTGGGCAAAACATTTGGTTCTTTGTAAGAGGATTTTGCAAACATTCTTGCCTGGAAGAAGTTTAGGGAGTGGCAGATGTAGCAGTTTGATGGGTCAGGAAGTAACAGTATGGATAATTGTATGGAAAATCACATCAATTTAACCCCTGCTGTAACAGCAGGTTGTTGGAAAAGGGAGGAAAATAAGAATAAA